CTAAACATATTTACAATGTTTTTGTCCTGCTGGTGCATTTTCCCTGAATTTTACCTATTAATTATAGCCATTCAACATTACAGTATAATTGAAAGCCATTATTTTTGAACATTTTAATAGGCTCTGAAATATAAACAACTTTTAATTTAAGTGATTTTAAAACAATCTTCACATAAACTATATTATATATGCATAAACTATACATATTAATCTTTATTCAAGCTATAAAAGTTAATCAGCGACTAGAACAGTCCAAGGATTTCTCTTTTTCTTTTGTTCTTTGATTTACATCAATGACAGACTTCAGCAGGTTTCACTTTAAAATCAGCACTGTCTCTTTAAAACCTGATGCGTATGACGCGGATGTGACGCATCCGATTTTCTCCCAATTCTTTACGGTCATTTAAGACTTTATAACTCATTTAAGACTACGTTTACAAGGTAACTCGCCCAAAACCGCGCATTTTGACATAATTGTGTGTGTTTTCATGCGTTGAAGCGCTACTGGTGAGCTGTCTGAAGCGGGTCAGCGTATGCGTACAGCCGAACGCGCAGCCTTTCGTTCCCAGCATGCTTTGCATAGGACTGGATAAGAAGAGTAAATGTTAAAATTAAGTATTATTTTTTTGTGTCTTTTGTTTAGTGAAGGGAAAGACCTGTTAGTGTTTAATGCTGTTATGTTTGACATTTAAAAGAGCTTCTGTTGTGTTGACGTTTTTGTGGTTACCATTGTGCTAAAGAGTAAACCACATAAAAGTAAACACTATTGACTCTATTAGCAATAACTGCTCTAATGCCAGTGACAAGTAACATCTTACTTGTTCATTAAATACACCTTAGGGCTGCACGATTATGACAAAAATCATAATTGTCGATTATTCCCTTGAAATTGTAATTGCGATTATTAATTACGATTATCAAAATTTACATTGAATGATGTTTATACCATTGTTTGATGCAACTTCATGCCGTATTTTTATATGAAAATAAAGAAGCTGAAAACACCAACTGAATTTTTTTAGTGCTTTTCTATAG